AGAATCAGTGACGCCAGAAGTATGGTTACAACAGGAGTCATACCAACACTCTAATCTCACTGAGAGTACCTTTTCTGAATATGGGTACTACTATCTTTTTGCAGTGATCTTCCTCATGGCTGAAACGTATTTGGTTTTGATTCCCTATCAGCCATTTTGTTGAAAATGTATATCAGTGAGATTCTCTCATCACCAGGAGAGCTTGGGATCGGATTTCAAGATGAATTGGACAGATCGTTAAGGACGAAGTGGGCTATCACGTTGAACAAAATGACGCAAAAGTACGTCTAGGCTCGTGTATTTGACTGCAAATTGTCAGTCAGAAAGCGAAAAGTACTACCCTGTCCCGTAGAAGCTTCAGACCGTCAACATTGTTTGGTGTCTAGCCCAAATTGCCGACGCAACATCACCTGTTTAATCAGCAACTACGTGTGAAGCAGTTTTTCACGTCATTGTGATAGGTTTTTAAAACAGGAAACTTTATGTTCAAAGAAAACGCAGTCTGAACACATGCCGGCCTGGGACCCGTCCGTTAACACCAAATGGTTCCGCGTAAATCACTTTACTTTCTGCAATAGGGGATGACGATTTTCATTGGCCATCCTCTTCCTCCCACGCAACTTCAATAACTTATACTGCCCAATGAAAAGTAAACCATGACTGTTCGGTTTATTTGTACTTTTACATAAGAGTAACGCCTTGCATTATTTTGGAAATTTCGTGCAATTAGTAGCAACCAGGAACAACAGATTTTCTCCATGAGCTGGTAAAGATCCTAGCGGTGCTCATCAATGATTTCCCACCTACCATTACAAACACAACAAAGTTAACAGTTTCTCTGAACCGCAAACAGCACAACACAGATTTCATCACCTTAGATGTGTTGAAATGTTTTTTATTACGCGAGAACCTAACCAATCAAGAAAATAACCGTTAATCGATCCAGGAAACCTTTTGGTATGCAGTCGTACGCCATAAATTAACAACATTGTTTACGGTATAGTCTTGTTATTGCCAAACAAACCTGGGCGAATCGTTCAGTGTGTGGAGAGGGCGTTTCGTTGTTCGCATTAGGGAAGAATTTTTATGTTT